AAATCTTTTGAAAAGGTTTTGGGGTGGAGTTCCATTTGGACCAAAAAACACTGATTGACAATCCCATTACATGACCTGGTAAACAGTACCAGGCTCACAGAGGTGTGTTTCTGTGTCCCCTGCCTGTCACATGTGTCCTCCTTCATCCTTGGTGCCCTTCACTTTCATGTCCCTGGGGTCCCCCTTGCAACCTTATCCAAGCAGCCACACAATACCCTTCATGGGACACAAAGCCAATGATACCAGTCTCCTCTATTCCATTCTCCACATTCGTCACTTGTATTCCTACGGTCTTTGTCTGCCTTACCTCTGTATGCATGACTTATCCCAAATTGAGCCTGCAATTGAAATGGAAATCATCCCTGTATTCCAGTGACTTGAGGGCAATAACTTCTTACTCTTTGAGGCATATATGTCATGTTTCTTGTCCCTTGGAGAATCGTACTGCTGTGTTGCCCTTTTCACATCGTTTTCTACCATAAACACTGAATCTTGAGGATTACTCTGATTCAACTCCAGCTTTACATCTGAGCGGGCATGCAAAAATGGGGACAAAACAATTGAAAAATGTGTTACAGGCTGACGGCAATGTGCATTGGGATTAGAATTCTTCTCATAAAACACCATCTTATTGTCTCTCTATAGTGGTTATGGTTTTCATGTGAGCATAACCTCATTTGATTCATTAAACGTGAAACAATTCTAGAGCTAAATGAGACGGAAGAACAGTACATGTCACCGTCTTGGCACTGAATCCAACAGAGGATGGAAATTCCTGTGATAAACACATTCATAAACAGCCTTGAGGGGACGATACAAACACAACAAGTGGTGACTGTGTGTAAATGTTGTTGCTTGGGTGTAACAATAACGTTTCTAAATGTTATGAAATATATGAAAGACGTGAAAAAGAACAAGTCAAGTCGCTGGCAGCTAGCAACAATATGTCAGGGTGAAATGTGTCAGTTTTGAGAAACCTCGGTACAGCAGAAAAAGGACAATGACAGGCTGAGCTATACCTCCAGGTAGGGATGTGGGCAAAACACACCGTCAGTACCGGCTACTGGCCGCTCACTCACTCACCCTGCTGGGAAAAGAAGTGCTGAACGTACGAGATAACGCTGACCTCACTGAAGGTTCGTCCTTTACTGATTCATTGTCCGTGCAGGCGGAGTATCCATTGATCATGTTCACCCAGTGGCCCCGATGATGCAGTGTGCTGTTGAATCAGAAACCTTGATACTGTTGATCAGCGCCTCTTATCTCTTTCTCTACCATCCCCCTCCAGAGGGAATCAATCCAACACTCCTGTATCTCTCCTCTGAACCAATCACAGGTATCATAAAAACAAATCTGGCAAATAAATATGCACACTGCCAGAGAGCAGCCAAGGGAATGAATATTTCATGTAACCAAACACATTTCCAGAACATACCGGCTAGAATTTGCCTTTCCGGCTGTCACCGGTGTCAAACATGAAAGCGGGGGGGCTCGAGGACAGCGGCACTGCAGCACTCTCAACTCTGCCTGCAGCACCAGGAGCATGAGTCCTCCTCACTGTCATTTCTTGTAGTGCGGGAACCTGAGCTGAACCTCAATTAGGGCCCGGGTACTTGCTAGGCTCCACACCTTCCTTACGTGTTTGCAAGGTACTCCGGAGAAAGCGCTCTTAACATCTCAACGCTGCCATGTATCAGCGCAATGTTTACACTTCATATCCCTTTACCTGTTCTCACAACTGCGAGAGTAACCACAATTCATTGTTGCATTAAACGCAGCAACACCTTTAGATCTTAAGGTGATAACAGGGAGGCATAAAAGGACATTTAGACAGAACTACAAATTCACTCCTGCTCACTGTTGTCAGGCTGCTCCTGTTCATCTCAAGAAGCGATCTGATACAGCAGATTCAATCTGACAGACTGAATGAGAGCCTGAAATCACATTGCCGATAAGAAATGCCTCTACTACACAATGTGCACAGAAGAACATTAAAAAGGGTTTAAATTCAAAAGGTGAAATGTATCAGAAACCCTCTAGATCACATGTTCTGGTCTTAACTGGCTCAGCTTGCTTTGAGGCTGGCGGCCTCTCTGAATCTTGATGCATCTTTCAGTGTGCACTGTTAAAGGCCAGGTGTACAAAGCACCGGCACAAAGGAAGCTCTCTCTGTGTTTCTCCCTTTCTTCTTTTCACTCTCAACCCCTACCTCTCCAACTGAATGCACTACTGGAAGTGCAAACATGTCTGTCGCAAAACAAACACTATTATGAACCAGTAAAGAGATCAATCACATCTTCATGCACTTCCTGCCACTTGCCAGTTTGTGATGCTTGTGAAAAAGTAAACACAGCGAGGTGTGAGCTCACATGTTATCACTTATCTGTGTGACTAAGATGTAATCTGTGTGCTACTAAATGTCTTAATGGTTCAGCTTCCCTGTTTTAGCACCCTATTCATGTCAAATTAGATTTTAATGTCCCGTTGATGACATAACAATTATTAATGAGCATGTCCAAGCACTCTGAGACTTAGATTTCATCCTGTTGCTTGACGTCCTCATCGATCCATTTTCTCCTCACGTTTACAATCTACTTATCATTTTCTAATCCTAATCTTTGTGCACAACATCTCTTGCTTCTCTGTAAGAGGAATCCCTCCTTGGTTGCTCTTTGAGGTTTGAATTGTTTATTTCTTTAGATTTATCTTTCATTTCATTTAGCTGACGCTTTTATCCAAAGTGACTTACAATAAGTGCAATATTGCTTTATTAAAGTTTGGTTGAGTTTTCTCCTGTTGGTATTGAGTCTGAATATATCATATGCTGTTGTGAAGCCCCTTGAGGCACATTTGTAATTGTGGGTTATATAAACGGAGTTAACACCCCTAAACATATTTACAGCTTCTGTAACGGGCTGTTTCTCGTCACATGAGTTGACATTTGCAAGTAGCTGCCCTAATATACGAAGAATGAGACGGCTACAAAGGATGTTCTGTTTCCTGCATTTTGTAATCGGAATGATTAAAGGGATGAAAAAGGTCCATGAAATGCGTCAGGTCGGAGCTGCATATTAAGTGGTGGCTGACATGGACCGGCCCGGGAGATGCTCGACACTTTGCTTGTCCAATTACTGGCGCTCGCTCAAATTGTTTGGTGAGAAGCATTCGACCTACTTCTGGACACAAAGCACCACTGCCCTGAATACTGAGAGGCTGGGGACCACGTGTGATGACAAGTGCCATTAGGGGCTCTTGTCTTTGACATTCAGCCAACTTACCTGAACGTAAACGGGTGGGACTAATGGCACCACACAAATAGGACCTCCCACTCTCGATGAGCAGCTTGAGATGATTCCAATCACTAATGGCAGTCTGACCTTCAGAAGGTCTTTGTGTTTAAAATGAAGCAGCAGGATCATGATAAGGAGTAGCAACACCACTTGATACATTAGAAGTGTTTAACCATTATTGGGAAAGTGTACCACAATCTGTGCTAGACACAATATAGGCCACGCGGTTGTGAGCAATAAAAGAGAAGCATCAAAAGGAATAGAAATATTAAATTATGGGAAAACGATGAAACATTCCCGTGTTTCCTGGGAGTCCCTCAAAGGCATGATCTATAATGAGACACGACACAACAACACCTGAGTATTTCAATTACAGCACTTCCACCAAAGAGTGTGAAAACATTAGCATACCTTGTAAATATTCATACTGAGGGAATCACTGAAGCCACATGAGATATATCTGGTCCTTAAATGCAACACGTCAAGAACACAAGCCTGATGCACAACTGTTCAATGCCCATACATTACCAAAGCTAGCGGTAACCACCACAACTCTTCTGATTGAAATGTCCCTATAATGTGTTTTTAATCGCACTCATTGAAGCCTCATCACTCATTCTAATCTTGTGTCACGCATGCTCTGCACTTCAACAGAAATGCATGTAATGAAGAGCAATTTCCTCAAGTGTGGAAAAGGATTAAAGAAATAGGATGTGTATTTTCTCTCAAATGAATATGTTAGTGCTCTTTGTCAGAGGTGTCAGCTGAGATGGAAAAACAGCAACAGAAATGATCCAGAAATATGGACTTGTAGCGCTTTCTAGAGCCACAGATAACACCACTACCTTTCAAACTACAAGAATACATCCGCTGATATTGTATGGAAATTATGAAACATCAGCAGGGCTTTTACAAAGATGTATGTTCATGCATTTTCCTACTTAACACTATTATCCCTGTTCCTGTCACATTCGGATGGAAAGTATGCATTTATTTCCAAATGAGATAATGCCATTCACCACATTGGATAACTAGGTATGATTCAGTCCTGCGGTTCAGTATTCAGCATGAGAGCCAGTGATAACAGGCTTAGATCATTACTGTGTAATGTAATGGGCAGAGTGCTGTTCAATAAGAAGGATGGCACATGGTGATCTGCAGGCACTGATTCTTTTTCAAGCATCACAGGCAAAATATGAATAAGTGATACTCAGAATGACATTATTCACACATATTAACTCTAGTGCCCTTGCTTCAAGTACTTTAATTTAAATTGAAAAGGGTCTGAGAGCTTAATGTTGTTAATTTGTGTTAAAAAGTGGAATCATTTAGCTTTTGCTAGGTGTAAACGTGTTTTAAGCTAGCAATGGTTCATCTCCCAGATCACTGTTCATGATAAAACTGTAAGTCTAGTTGTTATTCCACTCGTAAAAAACTGATGAAAATATAAACGCAGACGTGACTACTCTTCCCTTTAACTATTTCACCTCTTTTCATCCTCTTTTTTTCATTTTATTCAACAACCACCTGCCGTGAAGAGTCAGTCCGTACAGGTGCGTGCTCAAATCCTAATACCAATTGAGAGCTCCGTGTTCAAAGCGAGCTTACATTTAACAAGTGCCTCAACTCAAAAACACTCATATGGGCAAAAAACATGTGAAAATATGCAATTGTATCACTATAAAAACACAGCAATTGTAAATAACTTACCTTCAGGTGCAACTAATGTCGTGGCAGCCGTTCAGAAAGTTGTATTTTCTCCACCGCTGGATGGAAGAGTGGGAGGGAGGTTCGCTCGTGCACGTAACGGTACTTCGCCTCGAGACCCTCGCTCCTCCCCTGGATGCTACTACCGCTCACCCCCCGCCTCTGTCAGGAAAAAGTAATAGCAGTTTCTTCTTCTTCTTCCTCTTCCTCCTCCTCCTCCTCCTCCTCCTTCTCCTTCTCCACAAAGACGGACTCAAATAATAGAAGGGACCCTATCGCAGTCAATAGGTTTTACAAAACCCCATGGCAACGCAGAAAAACCGCGAGCAACTTCCCCGCGTTGTGACCGAGCCCCCCCAAACAGTGACAGCGACATTATTCCCAAGCCCCGGAATGAGCAGGTTTAATGGGGGGAGGCGGAGGAGAGGGTACCGCTAAACTACTCAAATATGGATGAGGAAATAACACTTAAATTCAGTGTAGGTCCAGTACATTATTGACTTCAAAGACACGTGTTTAACCCAGTGGGGGAAGCAGTTACTTAGTTATCACTTAAGTAAAAGTTGGCTAGCAATGGAAAATTGTAAATATAAAAAAGTAAAAGTCCTGCATTGAAAATCTTTCTTAAGTGAAAGTCAAAAAGTATTAGCATCAAAATAAAGCCTACTTACAGTACCCAAAGTAAAAAAGTAGTGTCACAAGTTCGACACATTTATATAACTCCTGTCATTTCAGATCCCGCCTTCCTCCAGGCAATCAGCTGATTCCCCTCACCTGCTACTCATTCCCTCATTAGCTCCACGGTATAAATACCACACTCTCACTTGTCCTCTGCCAGATTGTATTGTGTGTTTTACCAAGCGCTCCAGAGTTTACTATCATGTTTGCCTATAGTTCTGTTCTGACTGGTTTTGACCCTGCCATGCCCGGCGCCGTGTGAGGGCCAGGGAGGGAGTTTTGATCCTGCCCTCCCCCAATAAACACGTTTTTTATTATTTATAACATTTTTAAAAAAAAATGTTTTTATTTTTTTAATTATAAATAAACTGAGAACTTTTATGCTACGATGTATCTGATGTCAGATAGTAACTAAAACAAAAAATCGCAGGCTATGTCAAATAAATTCATGTGTCTTTTGTGATTTGTGATTCGTCCACATTTAGACCAATCACAGCGTCACACTCTGCCGCCTTCTGGATTTGTTTGTTTATTGTGCATTCTGTAGACTCCCATTTCTGTTTGAATTACAAAATGGACATCAGAAATTGGCTGAAAAGCAACCGCTCAAAGACCAACAGCCCCAGATGATCTTGGGGTTAATAAACCCAACCAGGTGAAACTGGATCGTTATCAGGGAGATTGTTTTCTGGAAAGAAGCGCACTTTTGCCGCTGCATGGTACACAACACACCGGCTTGAAGATTCGTTAAAAGCAGACGCAGCCTTTTGTTTCCCCTGTAGACACTTTAAAGTAAATACGTCTTCATCTGATGTGGCTTTTACTGTCAAAGGTTTTTGCGACTGGAAACACGCATTACAGACTGATACAGGACTGCTAAGGCATGCCGCATCAAAAGAACACATTTCATGTGAGAGTTTGTGGAGAGAGAGAGACAGATACGCGAGGAAACAAATAAGGAAATTAGAACTTTGGTGCAGATCAGCTGCACGGAACCGTTATTACGTGTCAGCTGTTGTTGATATTATAGATTTTTTAGCCGTCAACCAACTCCCTCTCAGAGGTGACTCGATTCACTCCACAGCATGTCCGAGTCAGGCAGTGGGCTCTTCCTATCGCTGTTTGAGTATACGCTGCACAAAGATGCAGAGTTGGCCAAAAATAATGTTCTAAGTTAGCTCGGCTGAGCGAAAGGATGCACCTGCAGTGCATAGGAAAATAAACCATGCCCAAGGCGGGTTAAACAGTTCATCGTCTCCGTCTATTTCTCTCCGATTGCAGCGATGAGGAAGCTGCCATCCTTAACCAGTGTGCCTTGCTCGTGATTTACCGGTGTGTGTGCTGCCACGCACACAATGTTTCAAAAGTGGTTTCTATGTTGCCCTTTATTTGTGTATGTATTTGCGATAAGTGTGCGTCTTTACGCAATGCTGTTGGCCTTGCTGTTTGATATATATTGTGCCGCAGTACGTGACGGTTTTGTGTGCCCTCCCATGAAAATCATATGCCCTCCCTTTAGATTTGTTCTGGCGCCGGGTCTGGACCCTGCCTGTCTGATTTTGGACCTTGAGTTTCCTGCCTGCCCCCTTATTGGATTTGTTTGCGTGACTGCTGGGTTTCCTGGTGTTGACCCTGCCTGGCTGTCCCTGACCTGAATAAACCGAACCTTTTGAACATTGGTTCTTACCTGTGAACGTGACAGTAGGCTGCTCAATATGTTTCAGAATCATATAATCGTTGAATTATTGCCATTACAGCTGGTTATGGTGGTGCTATTTTGAATAAACTGCTGCTGTTTATCTTATAAACAAACTTTGATTGATGATTGATCTTAACCTATGAATGATCCATACATTTTTTTTAAACTATTTTCAATCATAAATCATATTTAAAGTGTAGCATTGAAGTATATTATTTGTCCTATTAGTTTAAGTTTTCAATCTCTATAAATAATTATTTTTATTTTATTAAAATGTTTTCATTTTACCAGTGACCAAGTGTAGCTGCATGCAACATAAACTCTGCCACCGGCCTACCACCACCTCTACCCCTCAATTTTCTAAAGAAAACATGTGTTTTAAATATTGTGTTAACTGCTTATCTAGAAGTGATTGTTGTGAATAATAACTGTTTGATCTAGCAGCCTTATAATGAGAAGGGTATGGTCAAATATTGCACATACGTAACTGCCAGAAGTATGACCCATAAAGTGCTAAGCACACACACTTTGTGAGAGCTAGCATTAGGAGATAATAGTGTATGGTTGGAGATCATCAATCAAGTCCGGACCCTCTGTGGAAACTGAATGGCCACCAAATGTATTATTATGCCTCAAAGATATGCCTTGCTTTCTGCTACCCTAGCTGGTTGAGTGATTTTGTGACATCACAACTTGTTTTCACAGAACTAACAGTCACACAGCTGTTCCTAATAACACTAACAATGGCTTTGTTCACTCTATTAACAACACGAGCATTTTTTGAAAAATAATTGTTGTGTAAAGATTTGAATCCACAAACCCACAGCATTGAGAAAGGACTTTTCTGTGAAGTAGGACACATATTGTGACCAGAAGTAACACTTTAGAAAATAAGAATATTTGCATGTTCATTTATCCTCAATGAGGGAGTAGGAATGTTTGAACTTCAATGTTTAGTACAGATGAAAAATATACTTGGCAAAAACAGAGAAAACAGTCAAATGAGGAAAAGATTACTAGGATTTGCAGAAATTCAGCCTATAAACCTTATTAAAAATCAAATTAACATATTTTACGTACAGCAGTATATCTGTTTGGAGGTCAATTAGCCAATAATATTAGCTTAACTACATTTTTAAGAAAAAGGTTATGGTTTTGTTGCACTAGATCTCATTATGCAAACATACCATTAGCGTGTATCACTGCACAATTAGAGCTTCAAAACTGAACACCAGATTTTTTTAATTTAATTTAATTGTATTCATTTATTTAACAGGGACGGTGCACATTAATTAACATTGCTGTAAAAGTGCCAGAGTTAGCCAAGAGGCTAAGGTGCTGTTTACACGGGAACGAAACGGGTTGTATCCACTACTTTTCTCTCGCGTATAGCCCGTTCGTTCACACGAGGCCGTAACGGAACCGCGGAAACGGACCCCTAAAACGATAACGGGTCCCAAGGTGGATAGATCTGCGGATGGAACGCTCTAGGGGGCCAAACGGCTCCGTGTGTACGTCCTATACGGTCATTTCCTGAACAATGAAGCCATAGCCCCGCCTCTCCACCTCTGCTGCTCACTGCTGTAGCATGGTCAGTAGCTACTGTCAGTAGCTACTGCTGCTGACCATGCTACAGATGTTAGTGCAAAATCTAAAGCTCCTCTACCACAACCATCAGCAACAAGTGGACATGGAGAACTACATGAACTACATGTTGCTAAATCCACCGCGGAGAATAACCAGAAGGGCAACCAGGGCAACCATGCTCGGGGGTCTTCTTCGCTGCTTTTGGTGTATTTTCTGGCGGAAGTACAGCGCCACTTACAGGCCCGGCATATGTACTACAGCGTCTCTAGCGGGTCGAGCGGTCTCATGTGAATGGACCATAGGAATAGACACACGTTTATTGAGCCGTGTCCATGTGAACGGAATACTTTTTGATATCGAATTTGGTTCGTTTGCGTTCCCGTGTAAATGGGGCCCAAATCAACATCACTCTAAGTGTCAGTAAACTGAAAATGTCCATCTTGACAAAGGTTATGCACGGATGTTGTATCGGATTGCATTGCATTACATTAACAGGTGTTCACGTTGTTGTGTGGAGCCGCTGTACATCAGCACTGCTCACACCTCTCATCATAATGCCAGCCTGTGTATTGTAGACTAATGGTCTCTGTAGGGATGTGTGATTTCAGCACCTCTGACAGCACCACATCATTAAGAACTCTTTGCATCAGAGGAGCGGCCAGGAAAGGTCAGCTTGAAATCAATTTACCAAATAACCTCAGACCCGCAGACAGACATGGAGGGGATTTCCAACCTGGAAATGAAGAGGAGGGAGGGGCTTCTGCCAGTCACGCTCAGAGGCTCACTTACTGACAATACTGACTCAGAGGCTCATTTTTAATCTATAACGCTTTGTTGTCTATGTTAACCCAGAGACTTGAAATTGAAATTTTTTATATTTAATTAGATATTTTAAATTTGCTGTACACAAGGGTTCATCTCTAAAATGTTTATCAAATGTACCTTTTTATATTTAACATTCTCTCACACCCCCCAGCTGCTTCTATTAATCCGATTAAGGGCGTCAACCAAATTGACTTTGCAACAATCTCCAACAGCCATCATGATGCTGTCAAACTTTAAATCCTTTCTCCTCTCTTCTGCGGTCTACTGTCATGTTAGGCTTTACTGCTGCAACCCTCCTCCACCACACTCACTCCCAGTCATCATAAGCATGAGGTTGAGCTCATCAGAAGTCTTCAAATCCAGATCTTCAGGAGAGTCTCCTCATCGCCATTATCACCCCATGGGGAGGATGTATATTCTCCTTAAGGCTTCACTGCTACTTAAAATCTATGATATCACAATGGGGTCTTAATTGCTAAAGACTATTTTACATTTCTCAATATATTGCATTTAATTTTTTCGTAATACTTGATTAGGGGCCATATTATGCAAATGTTCAGGTTGATATTTTTATTTTGTGCCTCTACTGTGACATGTTTACACCTCTTTTTAGCCTCTGTATGAAACCAGAGCCCAGTCTTTTCCGGTCTGGGCTACCCCCAGAAAGCAAATGGGGCCTCTTTAAGTCTTGATTGATCTAACCTTTTATAGTTATATATCTTGGTATAATCCATGCAGATCTGGAGCCAAAATGTAATTAAAGAATCCCTCTGAATGTCCTCTAGCCTCTCGCTGTCACCAAAATGAATGTTTCATTTCAATTTAGCAATGACCTTTAGCTCACATACACAAAAATGACAGGCATTAGGTGTAACTGTAACAATTAACTGTGACAATTCA